TCTATGTTATCGATAAGAAATTTAATAAGCCTTTTCCTGAGTTCGGGGGTTAATCCCGTTCCCAGATATACCTTTCGTTCGGGCAAATGCTCGATTAGTATGACTTGCCCCAATTCTTCAATCGTTGATTGGGTGGCGTCAGAATTATCGGGAACCACGAAGGATCGAGGGATCCTTTGATCATCATCTTCGTCGATCTTCTGATTTTCTGGTTTGGGTTGAGGCTGACGTCTGTGATTGCTATTTGGCATCTCGTTCCCTTTTTGAGTCTGACCCCTTTGTTGATGAAGGTGAGGATATCGGAATTGCTTCTTCGACGGCAAATATTTCTCTCGCGGCCGGTTGTTCTCCGTACACTATTTTGACTCCCTTCGATGTTGGGAATTTAAGAACCTGGTATAGGGTCGAAGGTACAACTCTCATATTGTGGATCCATGGCCTTCCAAAAAGGGCGGTGTACCTCATGTTGCCTTAGATTATGTGGAACTTCATTTCCTGGATGGTCCCGGCCATGTTTATCAGCAGAATTATCTCGCCTTTGGTAACTTCACATGCCATATTGAATCCGTTTAGAACTAGGGTTGCGAGTACGAACTGATCCTGTAGACCGAGTTATTCTACAACCTTTGATCTAATAATGTTGGCTGAGCTACCTAGATCAATTAACACACGCTTAACTTTAGTTTTATTCATAAGTACGGATATTACCAGTGCATCGTTATGAGGTTGCATGACTCCTTCTGCATCTTCATCATTAAAGGACAAGGTTTCTATGGGTGCGTAATCCTGAGTTCGAGGTTGTTTTTCTCTCATAACCGATGTCTTAGTGCGTTTAAGTATCGGCCCTTGAGGGGTATCGACGTGGCCGATGATCATGTGGATGATGTGCTATGGTTCTTCCTGTTTGTTTTGTTTGCCGAAATACCTGTGTTTGAAATGGTTTTTGGCCCTGTCGCTTAAACATTCTCGAAGGTGCCCTTTATTGAATAACCGGGCTACCTCCTCTCTTAGTTGCCTACAATCTTCCGTTCTATGGCCATGGGTGCCATGATATTCGCACATTTGATTGGGATTCCTCTGGGCAGGATCGGTCTGCATGGGTCGAGGCTATTTAGTGTCTTTGATGCATCCGATAGCCGACACAGTGGAGGATGCATCAATGCTGAAGTTATACTCCGATAACTGTGGTGCTTCCTTAGGTACGGTAGGCCTGTCGAACCCATTTATGTTCATAAGCCCACGAGACCCTTGACCTCGATCACTTCTTTTGTTGCCTTGTCCGGGGTTACGTCTCGATTCATTGATTCTGTGGTTTCCACACGGTCGGTATCGGTCCCTGATCGGACCTTGTTCTCGATTGATATCCCTTCTGGCAGCGGGTTCAGACCCCAACTGATCGTCTTCGACTCTAATTTTTGATTGGTACCGATTATGCACGTTGGCCCAAGTAATAGCTAGGTACTCGATCAGGTTATGCTTCAACCGTCGTGAAGCCGTCGAACTTTGTTCGTTCAAACCTTGAGTGAAAGCCTGAACAGCCCAATCATCTGTGACTGATGGCAGATCCATTCGTTCTATTTGAAAACGAGATACGAATTCCCTTAGCATCTCGTTATCCTTTTGTCTTACCTTGAACAGGTCTGACTTCCTGGTCTCGACCTTTATGACCTCGGCATGTGCTTTTATGAAGGAATCTGCAAGCATAGCAAAAGAATCGATGGAATTAGATGGTAAATTATGATACCATATCATTGCTCCCTTTGACAGAGTTTCACCGAATTTTTTCAATAATACGGATTCGATTTCATCGTCCTCTAGGTCGTTCCCTTTGATGGCACATGTGTAAGAGGCGACATATTCATTGGGGTCGGTAGTTCCGTTATATTTAGGAATCTCGAGCATTCAAAATTTCATTGGGATCGGTTTAGGAGCCACTCTTGGGGGAAAGGCTTTTGTACGAATTTTTTGGAATCTAATCCCTTCAATATCGGTGGTGCCCCCGAGATCTGATCAACCCTGGAGTTATATGTTTCCACATTTTTGTCGTTTGCCTCGATCCTCCTTTCACCTGATTCTATTTGTTTGGTCAGTTCTTCGAACATCTTAGCAATTTCGGGATTAGTCCCCGACTCTTGCTCATTTGACCTTACTATAGTTGGTTCCGTTCTGTGGGCGATTTATCGGGGTGGACTAGGCTCCGGCCTGCTCGGTATCTGGTTTGACTCTGTAACTGAGCTATTGCTGCCTGTTGATCTTGCAATATTTCAAAAATCATGCGCAAGCTGACGCCATTTTCTTCAACGTTATGGGTATCTCGAGCTGCAGATCAAGTGCCACCATGAATGCTATTTTCAGGTTCAGAGTATAGGTTTGCCTCAATGTCCACATGTGAATTAACGTCTAATGGCACTTCGATTCGAGCCTCAACGGCGTCGACAAGCGGCCTTTTGATCCTGGGCGTCAAGTTATTGTTCTTATCTTGAAGACCAGCTTCGTTGTCGATAGGTAAGGCCATTTAATTGATAGTTAGTCGTTGCTAATCTGAAATCAAAGACACTTCCGAAAATAAGCGTAAAATGGCGTGTTTTGCGGATTCGTATCAAATAACCACTATTATCCTTAACCCCACGGTGGGCGCCAAACTGTTTACCCGAAAAACGGATATAATTGAATTTGTACGTAGTTCTAAGGGTATATGATATAAATTGACACAAATTTTAAGAGTAAAATGAAAATATCGAATATTGATTGCAAAGAATGAAAAATAAGCAAAGTTGGAAAGAAGATGATTTATGGATTAAGCAAGATGAATCATTCTATGTAGCTAAAAAGGGATAACTCTTCAATATAGGAGTATATGATCTCTCAGTTATCATGTATGTAGAAAACTTCCTACCTACAAAAATAATAACCAACCCCTTTATAGTGGAGGGATCCTACTTTATATACAATTAAAAATACATAGTGGGAGATCCATGATAAATCAGTTTTTTCATAATTCCTGCCAGGATTCTCTCCCCTAATGCGGTTGCAACGTCTCTTGTCTATGAGCTCGATATTTGACTCGAGCTCGATACCGACTCAAGCTCTCGATCTTGACTTGAGCTCGATTCTGATTTGGAGTCTTATATTGATTCGGGGACAGTGTTGGTCGGTCTCTGCCTCGTAAGCTCGATAACTTCATCATAGTTCGATTTGGATTCGAGCTCGATAATGATATCGAGCTCGACATTGATCGGTCCCTAGGGCTCGAAGCTTGATGACCTGACTTCGGACCTCAACCTGATCTTTGATCCGATGCATTACCATTTCGACCAGTTCGTACGAAGTACTAACCGGTTTTGACCGTATACAGGTTTGCTGTTGAACCCATTCCTGGTGCATTAGTTTGCATAAATGGCATGATTTTAAAGGTATTCTTCTCGTCTATGTTTGCTCGAACTTTTCAATAATATCGTCGGGTGTGTGTTGGATCCTCCAAAAATAATGCACTTTTTTAGGATCCAACATGTATGCGCCCAGGGACGGAGTTATGAGGCGGAAGCGGTTTCATCTCAACCCCTTCACCGAAAAATTATGATGTATATATAAGATCAACTCTACCTCTGCCACTAGATGCGACTATTTTTGAAGAGTCCGAGCAACATAGACTCTCATTCAATCTTTTTCTGATTTTCTCCATTATTATGTCAGTGCATTCTGTGTTATGTTGAGAGATGCATGATTCTTGTTTTTTGTTCTTCTTAATATTTTTGGGCTTGTACTCAGGCCATCAGCAATGGGAAGTTAGAAACCGGAATACATAGAGTGGCAACCAATCAGCCAGTGATAGAATATCTCTTGGTTGTTTAACTAGTCCTGCCTGTTCTGGATGCATAATCTAACCTGCAAAAGCACTTATAAGTGAAAGTAGGGGTGTTAATGGTTCAGTTTGGATCGGTTTTTCTCTAAAATAGAACAAAATCAATTAAGTCGGTTTTTCAAATTTTGAAATCAAACCAAACCAATTAAGTCAGTTTTTTATTGATTCGGTTTTTGTCGGTTATTCGGTTTTTTTTTAAATATGCGACATATACTACCAAGTTTCGGTGACTACATTTTCAACATACATTATCAAACCAATTGCTATTCGAGAAATCTTTCATTTACCAAGATATATTGATGATAATTGAACCAAATAGTAATGAATAATTTTAGGACTCAATTAAAAATAGATTATTTTTAACATGAAATAAATTCTTGTACTTAGCAAAAGAAAAATATCAATCAAACTAGAATGTAAATGCAAAAAACTATATTATTATAATAGCAAAAAACTAGACTAAAAGTGCAAACTATTAAAATGTAACATAAAATTTTAGAAACTATGTATAATAATAAATTTTAAATAATTATTTCTATATTCAGTTTGGTTCGGATTTTTTCAGTTATTTTTTTATTAAAACCAAAACCAAACCAAATTTGGTCGATTTTTAAAATTCAAAATCAAAATCAAATCAAACCGAAAAAGTATCGGTTTTTTTAGTCAATTTGATTCGGTTTTCGATTTGGTTCGATTTTTAGGGTTTTTATGAACACCCTAAGTGAAAGCAACCCTCTAAAATACAAGTCCTTCTCTTACACAAAGTATCTGAAGATTTGCTTCACTAACACCTCAGAATTTGAAGTAGCACTTAATCCTCATAAAATTTAATATCTTTGAGGGAGAAATGATGTGTTTCTGATTTGCAACATCGAATTTTTTTCCTTGAGGAAGCAATTTTGTGTGATTTCAGTTTTTATTTCAATGCATTTACCAATTCCCGCTATGAAGCATGCATGCAACGTATTTCTTTGTATCGTGATCCAGTTTGTAATATAAATAAGAACATCAATGAATAAAACTGTGTTGGAGTAAGTTATAATTAATATTGCAAACTGCCTGTTCTGGATGCATGTAGCTAAGCTAAGTCTCCTCATTCTGAAAATTAAATACATTCGGAGCTAAAGAAAATTTTGTATCATAAGAAGAAGAAGAAGAAGAAGAAGAAAATCTCATATTTTTCAAAGCAATTAATAAACGTTATATCATCTATTACTAGCTTGAAGGGATTTTCTTAAGGGCAAAAAGAAGACTAATAAAATTATTCTGCCCAATTTTTGTATTGAAAATTCTTCCAATGACTTTCATATTGCATCGTAGAAGTCAGTTTTATCATATCCATGCGGATCAAATACGGCTTTATCGAAGCGAGATCCTATCGGCTCAGTTTCTTGAGATTTCACTGTATGCAGCAACAAATCTGGATTCCGATACTCCTTTTTGTTGCGTAATTCTGCATTAAAGCTTGTGCCAGTAGTCTTCTTTAGAGCAAGTAATTTAATAATCTTTTCTTGCAATTCGTCTGAACACTTCTCCTTTGGTGGAGGAGGCAGCCATTTCTCCAACAGATCTGTTTCTCCTTTTTGTTCTTCTTTTGCAGGAACGTCTATAACAGGTTCTGAAGAAATTTCGATTCGATCATTTGAAACGGAGACGTTTTGGGATTCAGGTCGGTATTCTTCTTCTTCTTCTTCTTCCATATCATCATCCTCGTCGCCGTAGATAGATAGCAGAGCGATTGCCTCCGATTCTTTCTTCTCTGACGCCATTGCTATTAATTATATCTTTGAATTGTTCAATTAATAGGGTTTTTGGTTGATGAATTAGGGATTTAGAAGTTTTTTGGAATTTATTTGAGTGTTCCGCGGGGGAGCTATTGGGTTGAGGAAGGATCCGGGTCAGATTAGAAAGAGATACGGGTCAAAATTATTAATTAGAGGTTGCATGCTATTAATGTCGGCCTTGTATTAGTAAACATTATTACAAGAAAGGTTAATTTGCTGTTGATAAGGAAAAGGAAAGACCAATTTAGTTGACATTATTTCAAAGAATTTTATTTTTCTTACCAAATTATTTACTCAACTAAGTATCCTGAAGCCATTGGCGGCATCACGATATCACTAATCTTCTCTTCTTTCTTTTTCTCTTTTTTTATTTATTTTTGGGTCGTGTCAGTTTCTCAAGATTATATAGTTTACCCGAAAAACGGATAGAGTTGAATTTATACGTAGTTCTAAGAATACGTGATATAACTTGGTATAAATTGGTAAAATAAGTAAAAATATATCGAATATTGACTATAAAAAAGGAATGAAATACAAACCCAAATTGAGTAGAGAATGATTTATAAATGAACAAGATGAACCAATGTCCAAAGTCCAAAAAAGGATAATGTTTACTATATGTGTGTAAATCTCAATGATCTCTAAAATGTGAGAGTGTATGAAAGTCTATCTCCAATCTCCCCTTACACAAATGATAGCCACTCTTAATATAGTGGAGGAATCTTACTTTGAATACAATTAAAAATATATAGTTGGGATCTCATGATATAATAGTTAATTAGTTTTTCCTTGATTTCCGTCCAAATTCTCTTCCTTAGTGCGGCTATAACGACTCTTTGTCCCTTGGCTCGATCTTGATTTTGGTCGGTCTCGGTATTGGTCGGTCTATGGGTCACGAGCTCGACCTTGACTCAAGCTCGATCTTGACTCGAGCTCGGTATTGATCGGTCTCTGGATCTCGAGCTCGACCTTGACTCGAGCTTGATCGGTCTCTGGATCTCGAGCTCGATATCCCAACTTTACATCATAGCTGGATATTATAACGACGACACTCGGACCGTCATGCTCCAATCTTGACTAATCACACGAAGGACAAACTCAGTTTTGACCGTATACAGATAGTCCCCTCGTTTCTCGGAAAGAAGGTGGCGAGGAACGATATGATTTTTCAATCTCTGACTAGATACATACTGACGTCTGCGTCGATCCCGATCGTGACGTATGTTACAAATATACCGTCGATCCAGTTACCAAGGCATTAAATGCGCGTCAGTCAATGGTCGGCCACTGCCAATTTTGAACTGACACTGTGACATCTATAAATAGCCCCCTTCTTCATTATATCAAACTTTTAAGCCTTTTTCATTCCAATCTTCACAGTCCTTCCTTCGCCTTCTCCCAAAACTTCCTATTTCCAAGTTTCTTGTTCTTATCAAAACATCAAATAATTCAATCTTCCTTCTTCTTTGTTCACAGAAATTTAGATGGCCAAAACGTCTAAAACCGTTCCGCAAAAAGAGGCCGCTTCTTCATCACGACCCGCCGGCGGCGAGGATGCGGTGGAGCCTCGCCCTGAGGAATTCATTCCGGTAGGGTGTTCAACTGTCAGTGACTTTAAAGTTGAAATACCTTCTTTGGTACCGGGCCGATATGAGCCGATGTCGAGGTACCAGTGTACGATCACCGAGAAAATTCTCGAGAAAGTCAAAAAAGAATGCAACTGGGATGATAAGTACGTGGTAGTCCCATCGCCTGATGAATCGATTACTACCCACGTGGAAGGGTTCCTAAGTGTTTATACTTATCCTTTCACGTTGGGTCCTTTAGACCCTGTCATCGTCGCCTTTTGCAAGAGATACGACATGACCCTTGGCCAGATCCATCCTTCTTTTTGGAGAATAGTGATTCTTCTCCGATTTTTCTCGAGCAAAATCGAGGGGTGTCTTTTCACCCTCAATCACCTTATGCGCCTTTATAGTCCCCGACTTTATCGAGGAGGGTTAATCAAGCTTGCTCGCCGAGCCACCAAAGCGCCATTCTCGAGTATAGACGAGACTCGTGACCGAGGTTGGATGGGCCCTTTTGTTCGAGTCAAAACCTCATACCTGATCCCTGCCGATGACATGTTATTTCCTGAGAAATGGAATATAAACCGTGAGTGCTTATTTCCCTTCGTTCGTATTAATTTTGTGACTTGCCTTTCATTTTCTTGATCACTTTTCCTTTCTTATCACAGTCGTGGCTCGGATGCCGGAACCAATTTCAGATCTTAAACAATGGGTTGAAGGTCTGGTGCTTTAGAGACCGTACTCCGAGCGTGCTTGGGTGGAATTATCAAAGGGTCGATGGGAGGCCGGTAGTCATAGTAAGTCTCTTTCTTAATTTGTTTGTCATTTGTTCTTTTTTAGTTGTTTATCCCCTCTTTTCCCTTTGTAGGACTAGGGAAGGATGTTGCCATGAGGCCCCCATCTGGTGATGAAGAGGTTCCTGCCCTGAAGCAGGTTAAAGAAAAGAAGAGAAAATACATACGGAGTTCTCCGGTCTCGGAAAAGAAAAAACCGGCTAAGAAATCTTGCAAGCCAAGGGGGCTCCAGTGTCACGCCTTCGGAATCGATCCGCCGATTAAGGGACGAGCCCGAAGAAGGAGAAGAGGAATTAGCCTGTGTACAGGCTAATGTTGTGATACAACAATCTTCCGAATCGGCGGAAGTAAATAAAGGAACCCTGGCCATAATCCTAGAACAAGAAAAAGCCGAGACTATTCCGTCTCGAGCTAAGGTGGTTGAAGGGGATACCGAGGGTAGGATTTCTCGGGCAGTAGAAGATATCTTGAGGGATGATCTCAGCATAGTTGATATGAGCGGATCCCCTCAGATTTCGGATGCTATGATCCGTGAGGCTATCATGTTGGAAGGTCGATCCTACGAGGGCATTCAGGAGCTGATCGATATCCACGGTTTTCGGGATGGGATCGAGTCAGCTGCCTCGGAGGAGGTTATCGGGTTTGGTGGATTACCAATACCAAAGAAAGCATCATAGTCGGGCTTTGTCGGGTCTTCATCAGTTCTAAAACTGGTGGACCGATTCCCGGCCCCGAGTGTTGAACCCGATCCTAGGTGGAAAGTAGTGCTCTCCGTCCCTGAGGATACCCGAATTTTCTCTCCCGCCGTGGGGTTTTCCAGTTACCTTTGGTCCTTGATGACCGAAGAAGATCAATCGGTGATGAATGCGGTAGGACCCGCCTGCCTTTTCAACGAGGCCCAGCATGCTCTGAATCGGGTAACTCCGATGGCATCTCTGCTGTTTCTTTTATACTTAGAATTGTAGATAGTTCTAACATTTTTTCCTTGTGTATGTAGGCTTCGGTGTTGCATCACGAGGCTTTCCTCTGAATCCGAGAGGAGCATGAGGCCGAAGTTCGAAACCTCACTGAGAAGAGTGACTCCTATAAATTTCTTAGCGAGAAACTCCGAGCGATTTTGGTAGCGGCTCGGGACGAGCACGAGGAGATGGCCGAGCATGTATTTTGAATTCTTCACGACAGTGAAGATGAATTGGAGATAACCACTAACAATCTGATTATGCAGGTTCGGCAGAGGCTTGAGCAGATCAGACGGCTCAATTCGCAAGTGGATGAGCCAATGGCCGAGGGGGGGAAATTCAAAGAAAGTATGGATACCCTCGCTTCCAGAAAGGACGTTCAAGCACAATTGGAGTCGGCTGAGGCCCAGCTTTGGGTTGCAAAAGAAAACACCTCGGTGCATATCGAGAGGGTTAAAGAGCTTCAGAGTCAATTACATTTGGCCACTTCTGATAAGGCAAGCTTGGCTAATGAACTTGAAATGGCCAGATCCGAGGTTACCGAGGCTAATAAAAGAGCTGGAAGCTCCCGGAGGTCAGTGCTCAGGGCTTCGATGTTGAGGCCGAGATTGAAATTGCCAAGGCGGAGGAAAACAGGGCTCGAAGGCTGGCCTTCCCTGAGGAAGACTCCGATAGCTCGAGCGAATCTAAAGGTGGGGAAGATCCCGAGGATGCGGCCTCCGATGAAGACCAAGCCATTTAGGATCTTAGGTAGTTTTTGTTATTTCTATTGAGGCTGCTTTCGGCCTTTGTAAAGAACTTCCTTCGGGCCGAGTTGCCTTTGTAAAAGATTTATATATAGAAAACTTTGCCCTTTTATGGCTTCTGAATCTTTTGCCCTTTTGTTAACTTATACAAAGGTAAAAAGTGCCTTAGCATTGAATAATTATTCGAAGGTCCAAGATTAAGATAGTAAGGACCGATAGTAAGTACTGCACTCGACCGTTTCTTATAGGTAGTCCCCGAGTGAATGTTCGAACTCGAACTGAGGTGGCCCTTAGGCTTGATGGATAGATGTCAAATGAAATGATTCAAACCTGAATTAATGTGGCCCTTGGGGTTTGTGGTTGAGTGAGAATGATTTCTCAGACTCGAAGTGAAAAACGGCCCTTTGGCTTTTATGGTCGAGTGAGTGTTTGCTTGAACTCGAAATGAAAACAGCCCTTAGGATTTATGGTCGAGTGAGTGTTTGTCCGAACTCAAAGTAATAGTAGCCCTTAGGCTTAATGGTCGAGTGACTGTTTTCTCGAACTCGAAATGAAAACAGCCCTTAAGCTTTTATGGTCGACTAAGTGTTTGCTCGAACTCGAAGTAAGAGTAGCCCTTAGGCTTAATGGTCGAGTGAGTATTTGCTCGAACTCGAAGTAAGAGTAGCCCTTAGGCTTAATGGTCGAGTGAGTGTTTTGTTCGAACTCTAAGTAAGAGTAGCCCTTAGTCTTAATGGTCTAGTGAGTGTTTGCTCGAACTCGAAGTAACAGTAGCCCTTAGGCTTAATGGTCAAGTGAGTGTTTGCTCGAACTCAAAGTAAGAGTATCCCTTAGGCTTAATGGTCGAGTGAGTGTTTGCTCGAACTCAAAGTAAGAGTATCCCTTAGGCTTAATGGTCGAGTGAGTGTTTGCTCAAATTCGAACTAATATAGCCCTTAGGCTTTATAGTCGAGTGAGTGTTTGCTCGAACTCGAGTTAATATAGCTATTAGGCTTAATGGTCGAGTGAGTGTTTGCTCGAACTCGAGTTAATATAGCTATTAGGCT